CCAGTGGAGGCAAGTTGAACACCACTTATTTTCCAGCCCTATTACAGCAACAAACACCCTGAAACATACAGGCACCTGCAACCCATTACACAACTGCCAAGAAAAGGGCATGCCCTGGCCCAGGCCTAGCTGATCCTGCCAAGGGATGATGCAGTAGTCCCTGTCTGCCCCAACACCACCAGCCCTCTGCCTTCCCCTCTCCTACCAGTATGGATGTGCCTGAAACTGTGCAGGGAGCTGGAAAAGAGTTAATTTTTGTGGCATTTTTTTAAACTCCCTTTGATTTAACTGCTATTTAAAAGTCAATGAAAAACCTGAGACAACACAGAGACTACAAGCCTACTAGAAAGCTGCAACTGCTTGATTAGATCTGTGTAAACAACAAGGATTTACATACAACTGGAATTCAGGCTGTGAGAAACTTTTGGGTATACTTATTTTAACTCCATCTTATTATCTTAACTCCATTATTTCTGCCAATTATAAATATTTCTCCCTTTTATTTCTAAGTTTTTTAATGCAGTGGAATTACCTAACCAAATTAGATGCAGCTTACTGAGCAGTATTTTCATTCTGTAATAAAAAACAGCCGGTAACCTATTTAGGACATGAAACCATTTTCAATTCTGTGATAAGAGAAAATTCTTACTCCAGTCCACCAAGAAGTACACTACCAGCCTTCCAAAAATGCAGCACACAATACCAAAACTCCAGTCACTAGGAGGTTACAACAGTTTATAAAGCTCTATGTATGCAGCATGGAATTCAGTACAGCATAAGCAGCATTGCAATACTCTTTAGAGCAAATCTCAGAGCCCACTGTATTTAAAATTATGTGTTAATGATCAAATAGTATTGCTTTCTATGAGAAACCAGATTATTTGAGGGGACATCAACAGGATTGATGCCTGTACCAAAGACTGTTTCATCCTCTGTAATTTCAAACTCCAAAAGACAGGGGTTTAGTTACACTTTCCTGAGTTTCTATCCCATCCATGGCTAGCATCTACTTTTCTAATTGGGTAACAGAAATACACCATGAAAATACAAACGTATTTTTCAGCAATATCATTATTTGTATGTCTGTCAGTATAAACAGGGTGTCATATCAGAGACAATAATCACCGTATCACTTCTTGGTCATAGTGTATAGCATTCATACCTAGTACACTTCTGTAGTTAGTGCAGATCTGAGAAAGTATCAAACATAAAAAACATCTAGCAACAAAGAGAAATGGGTTTCAAGTGTAATAGTAACTGGTATTCTCCACATCCTAAAAAAAATAAGTGTTACATTATTTAAACCCCGAACATTGTCAGCAATATAATTTCAGCAGCTCCTATTTTTAAAGCCTTAAATGGCATAACCTAGGGAAATCCTACTCGGGTATTATTTGTTAACACAGAGCACAGATAATATACGGATACTTTGGAGCCAACATCCTGTTATTTCTCAGTTAAAAGCTCTAACTAAGGGGAAGGAAGTTGGCCATATTTGTGTCCCAAGTTTAACACTGGGAGTAACTCAGTAATTTCAATGTTTCTTAATAGATTATTGCAGTCAGCAAAAACCTCAGACTCTACAGCCATAAGTTACTGGACTTCCAACTACACGATTTTCACATAAACACGACCTACTAAGAAAACTTTACAGACTCAGGGTAACAGAAAAACTGAAATTAAAGTCCTCAAAACATCGAGGAGTTCAAGTTCCATTTTCAATAAGTATTCATTAAGAACTCACTTCTACTTCCTAATTGAGGATAAGATCTAGATCCTATGGTTGGTTGTCCCCTTCTCTTCTGCAACCAAACCCCACCCTCACCCTCCTCCTCCAAAATAACTCCACTATACTTCTTCAGCTGTGTCATATACATGCCTGTTCAAAGAATCATTGAATATTGTTTTGGTGTCTCTGAACCTAAGTGATACTGCATAATTTTGTAATAACATATGCATTAGAAAGGTGTTTAAAGAGTGTAAACTAAAACCCTTTTAACAAAAAGGGCTCTATTTTTCTGATCATACAACTGGTCTAAATCCTTACAGTATTGGTTAGAGAATTCACTCAGGTTACTATCTGAACAACAAGCAGAACTGAGAAGTACGTTACTACTTTTATCACAGCAAACCCATCAGCAAAATTCACTTTGTAGAATTTTAATACTATTAATATAAAAACAAAAGAAACAAAACCAGAACAGACAATTCATTTTAGAAGTGGCTGAAGATAACTATTGTGAGCAAAATCTTTGACTATATCAGACACTGGAAAGATTATGAGAAGCAGTTTACCTTTATAAAGTACCTATCAAATCTAACAACTATGATATACATCTTGTAACTATTAATTTGGGACTAGGAGTTTTTCAATGGTTTATCCCAGTATGGTAAGCTCATTAAGTGACATGAAAGCATACACATCAACTGCAATACAAACTCATAAATTACAATGCATGTGGGAGAGTTTAGTTACACTGCAAGTTAAAAAGTGGGCTCGTAAGTAGAATGAATTTGTTTTTAAAAGCCAATATTTAAACATGGTTTAAAAAACCGATGCTGTTTCAAGTCAGTAAGAAAAATATGCCATTCATCTGATCATTCTAGCCAAATCTAATCATGATCAGACCAAAAGCATGCAGTTAAAATATCTCTTCAAACAGCTGAGATTTGACCAAAAAAAGGACACCCATTTTCTTAAAAACTAGAACAAAAAAAGGGCTTCCAGAGTGAGGAAGTAAGATCGTTTCCTGCAACTGTATCACACATCCTACTGTAAGACTGCTTTCACCTCAGACACTTTGTTAAGAACACACAACTCCCAGCAGAAAGTCCCACCTCCTTATAAACATCTTCCAGTACTATTCCAATAAACCTATCCAAATCTCAAACAATTGTAAAAAAAGTTTGTTAAGTGCTTTTAATGAAGAAAGCTAAACAAACTGCTGTCAATTTAAAGCAAACAACACAAAGGTTGAACTTACACAAGAATATGATAAACATGCTGAACAAGTATGAAGTACATGCAGTAGTTACTATAATATTCAGCCATGGCAAACCTAATGAAGCATTACTAAAAATACTAGCTTACGAATGACACTGCCCAACTCCTTTGTAGATCTCAAGGAAAATAAATATTAACACAGTGGGGAAACTTGTTCAGAGACTAAACAAGAGTCACACAGTAATACACAGAAGGGAGTGCAAGCAGCACTCCCATCTCCCTCCAAACACACAGAAATTTCCGTTCTACTGACCACAGCTTTTTCTTATTTACATGTCACCACACACAATTCATCAGGACTGATCACAACTTTCTCTTCTATTTCTGTGACCACACAAAATTTCGCAAACACACCAGCATTCTTCTGCGAACTAAAATAGTACACAACATGCTCTGCTACAGTGTGTCACTTCGTGTCTTACAAAACAAGCACAGTCATTAGCTTCAATTCAGCTGTTCAAGTGTATAATACTTTGTACAACATTAAATATGCTATCACTTAATTGGAACTTATGTCACATAACACATGCAATGCCTTTCTTATGTGTTTCTGGGTCTGCATCTTAATCTGACTTAATCTTTCCTCTCACTATTTCATAGAAAACTTTTTAAAATGGCAAGTGGCAAGCCGCTGATAGGGAAAAAGTTAAACTGACTGCATAAAAACAACAGAAAAACATATGGTTAAAAATTATATTTTAAGTAAACAAGAAAAATTCAGATTCCTCTTCAATTAAAGTAATCTTACTCACTGAGATTACTGAGGTCTCAGACTACACAGCATAAACTCAGGTTTCAAAAATAAAACACACAATCCTACTGGAATGAGTTTAATTAAAGTAACCCAAACTTTTGTATCCCAAGCTTCCTCGGTTGTCCCCACACTTGGAAAGCCACACAACCCCAAAACGACGGGGCAGCGATGACGAGCGACCCGCACAGCTCAGACCGACAGTCACGGGTGCGCAATGGTGAGGAATAAGGCACGTTGGCCCGGGCACCACGGCCTTTGAGAGAGGGCAAGGCACACACCCGAGGGGAGAGCTCCGGGGCCCCGGGCTCCCACCGGAGCCGCAGGGCCGGCGGGGCTCAGCACGGCCCTCCTCGGCCGCAGCCGGCCCCTCGGCTCCCCGCTCGCTGGGCCGGCCGAGCAGCGCCGAGCTCGCCTCCGGCGAGTTTGGCTGGCTCGATGGTGCCGAGACAGCCAAGCCAAACTCCATGTTTTCCCCGCAGGGCGCCGCGGGCGAAGAGGGGCCGCCCCGCTCGGCCCGTCAGCAGACGGTCTGTCCACATCCCCGCTCCCCGAGGGGCACAGCCCTGCCCGCGGCCCCCGCCTCGGCAGCGCACTAACAACAACAGCCACAGAACACGCGACAGGCAGAGCCACGGCTGGGCTCAGCCACATCCCGGCACAGCCACATCCCGGCACAGCCACGGCCGGGCACAGCCACATCCCGGCACAGCCACGGCTGGGCATCGCCCGCGGCCGTGGAGGTCGGAGCTCACCGGGAAAGGCAGCGGGCTGGGTGCTGGAGCGCGGGCACGCCGGCAGCTCCGCTCCGGCCGCCGCGGGGCCAGGGAGGCCCCTCCGGAACGGCGTCCGCCGCCCGGCTCAACCCAGCACGGCCCGGCTTGATTCGGCTCAGCGCCGCTCACCTCTTTGACGGGGGGGAATTTTTTCCGGCACTCCAGGCTCAGGCCCCGCAGGTCCCCCTGCATGTTTTCCAGCAGCTTCTTCACGGCTTCGGGGCTGCTGGTCCCGGCCATGGCGCCGCCGGGCCGGCCCCGGGCCGGGCGCTGTTCCGAGCGGGCAGGGGCAGCGCCTGTCTCTCCGCGGCCCCGGCCGACACGTCTGCGCCCCGCACCGGAACCCTCCGGCCCGGCCGCGTCCCCTCCCCGCGCCGCGTCCCCCCCGCTCCCACAATGCCGGGCGCCGGCAGCTTCCGCACACACGGCCGGGGGCGGGGAGAGCGGCGGCCGCCGGCAGGGAGGGAGAGAGGGAGGCGGTGCCCGGACCCGTCCTGCCCAGCCGGGCCGGGCGCGGCCCGGGGAGCGGGGCTCTTTCCCCGGGGCCCCTTCCCCGCAGTGTCGCTGGGTCTGCGTGAAGCGGCAGGATAGGCGCTGGGACCTGGCCCGAGGCGGGGGGCAGCTGCCGTGGGGAGGAGACAAACTGCGGCGTTCGCGAAGGGTCACTGAGGAGCAAAGTGGCGAAGCTGTTTGGGCTTCAGCAGCCGCCAGCCCCGCCGAGCGGCTGCAGGGCCATAGGGGTCGGTCCTCTCTGGCCACGTCAGGCTCTCAGGAGCGTTTGATTGAAAAAAGCAAAAAGCGAGGTATACTGCTTTTCTTTTGAATCCTGAAGTTCTTGGTTTCTTTCCAATGCGAGTGATTGTGCACCGAAACAGACTGCTCGGAGAGTTTGCAGAGTCTCCCTCGCTGGAGATTCAAGAGCCGTCTGGATACAATTCTATGCAGTGTGCTCTGGGGTGACTCTGCTTGAGCGCGGAGGTTGGACGAGATGACCCAAAGCGGTCCCTTCCGCTTGCCCGTTATTCCGTGGTTCTTCAGCCGGGGCGAAGCTTTGTGCCCTCCTCGGCCCCTGAGCTCCGTGGTTTCCTCTAAGCGAAGCGAGGGTGAATCCTTCAATGAGGAGCTTTAAGATAAATACAGGCAGGGAAAAAACAAGGGCATGTGGAATGGTTGGGTCCCAGGTACCTTCCAGCAATGTCCCTCAGAATTCCATAGCAGCAATTTTTAACCATTTCTAAAGCTGGCTCCTGAACAACTAGCACACGCTCTTCAGTATTTGTTACTCGTAGTAATCCAGGGGAGCTTAGGCCTGATGGTTGCCTGGGAGCTTCCTTCTGGAGGACACCATTCATCGTACACCATAACAACATTTCACAAATATTTTGGTCTCTGCAATAATAATGTTTCCATATTCTTCGTACTGCAAATACTGTACTGTGCTGGCTGCCTACATGGTATGCAGCACAGTTGTGTTCTCCACCTATAAACCGAGGGAGTTGGAAAACATCTGTGAGTTTTGACATGCTGTAGTTTTCCAACCTGGGAGTCGTGAAAGAAAAATTAAGAAGAAGCCAAATGAAGGACAAATTTTAACTGCCATACGATTTAAAAAATTTTAAGTAACAGCTTTTCTTCAGACTTTCCTGAAAGTCTTCAGTCTTACTCAGACAATGTTCTAATATTTTGGGGTTTTTGTCTTGTAATGAAATGTTAAAACTTTATAAATTTGAGCATCCCTACTTGTATGTTGAGTTCATTTACTGTGAGAACCATTGCAAATGATGTAGTAAACAGGCTCCCACTGGCACAGCATATACGTATATATATATGTATGTACCTGTATACATAAATCTTTAGGGGTGCTTTGCGAAGCAAAGACTGCAGGCTTGTTTTCTAAGTAATTTGTTATTTTAAGATCTTTATTTTTATATTGTTTTCAATATACTGGCTGTTAGCTTGGCAGAACTGGATAAATGGGTGTGAATTTTTAAAACTATATGTAATGCTGCCGCAATTGAATTAAATAGTCGAACTTTATGTGCCTTCAGACAAGGAATTAGGATTTTACCCCTGTGTCCACTAAAAGCAAAATGATTCTATAACATTGTTATACATTCAAAGTGCATTGGTCTGTTTATTCTCAAAAGCTTTGATTTTTCTATGCTTACTTAAAACAAAACCAGCAACAAAAGAACAAGACTTGTCTTCAGTAGAAAGATTTACATGCTTAACCAATAAGCGTTTTCCTAAGGATTTTTCCATCTTATGTATCTGTTCCGGGCTTCAAGCTTGATGCAAGTCACAGACCAGTCCAAATACCTTAATAAGAAACATGGGTGATTAGCTAGGAGAATGAATAAATGAATGAATGACTATGCACATGTATTTCTTAGGTAATTGTTGATGATTTACTTCCTTTTTGTTTTTTGGATTTTTCCACAGATTTACTGTATGTAGTAAGCCATGGACACATTGATATTCCTTGAACCTACTTGTCTGCCTGCGTGCACACTTGATATCACTTAGGTTAATCATACATATCTTTTCAACTACCAGATTAGACTCAGTTGCTCAGCATTGCCAGCCAAATACTGCCAGATTGTTCATGAGTTTGGAAATGAATCTTACAGTTTGTAGAATTCTTACAGTTGTAGAATTGAAAACTCTTCTGGATCTGCTCAATACAAGAAATAGGAACATGTGCCTGAATCTCATACGTGTCTCTTAAGCAACAAGGTCGTCTTTCTCACTGTTTTGATGTATGCCTTTTGTAAATACAGAGATTTATCAGTTAATCTAAACCAGTGCAGTAAAGCTAAACTGTTCAAACTAGCCAGGATCCTTTTAAGTGACACTGATTTGATTGTGAATGTGGCTTCTGCAGTTACATTTCATTGCAATAGATTCTATTGCATGTAGTCCTAACTCTCAGCAAAAGTGTTGCCAGTCTTTTGTACACTTAAATACCCTGGTTACAATTCAAGTAACTTTTGATTCAGAAGGTGGCACAGCGTATTTGCACATCTCTGAGGGCACATTTTTGACCAGCAAGTTAAGAATGCTAGCTAGCTGTTATGCTGACTTAATTGGGAATAGTACATGTGCCTGCATCTCAGGCACATCTCTCAGCTTTTAAGCTAACTTTGTATTTCACTGCAATAATAATGTTGTGGTTTTATTTGTTATTAAATTATATGTTATTTTGTGATGGGCAGTGGGTGATTGAAATAATTCCCTTTAGCTTTATGGCCCTAATTACCAACAAAAATGCTCATGAGACCTATTGTGACTCATTAAGTTACCTCATGTTCATTCCAAATGATGTGCATCAGTCCTTTTAATTTGATTAAATATGGGATAGCATTCAGCTGTATTAATTTCAGGTGTTTAGTCCTAATTATAGCCCATCCTGGTAGATGTATGCAGGTGCAGGCTTTGTATATGAGAACAGGGTTCTGTCATCATGCTCTACAGAGGCAAAACTATCAGATTTCATTCACTGTGGCAATTAATTGGTTTCATTGTTATGGGAAGAGTTGTGATTTTCCTGTGATTTCACTTTACCTACCCTCCTGTATAATTCTGTAAGTGATATGAATATGTAAGTAGTGACATAACTAAACTAACTTCAGGAGATGAAAAACCAATTTTGTGGAAAAGTGAAGGTGTTTGCAGACATCTCTGGTGAATTTTTTGTACTGCAGAGTTAGGAACCATAATGGAGAAAATTTTGCCTCAGATTGAACATAGATACTGATATCAAAAGACAAAGTTAAATTTTAAATTAAAAGACAGCGAGAGATGGATTAATACAAAACATGTCATTTAGCCTTTTATAAAAACTATGCATTGTATTGGTCTGTGTAAGCACAAAGAAGCCCTTTACTATTGAACACTTCAGTAGCTCCTTAAATTGCAAAAGAAGTGGGCCAAGAGAGTACTTGTTGTGACACAAATGGGTTAAAAGAAGTAATAAACTTCCCCCTAGTATATGGTATTCTTTGGGGGGTTTTTATGGAATAGAAATGAAGTCCTTGGTCCTTTATGTGGCTGTGCAAGGAAGTTAGATGTACCAGCAGACCGAAAAGTACCTTTTCCAATGCGAACTCCTCATTAATTTAGCCTGTGTTCCTTTCTGCATAGGAGTGAGCATATGTTTACATGTTAGTACCCCTTTTGTTTGTATGCTTATTTGGTCAACTAAAAAAGAAATCCCATCTGTTCTCTACTGGTGGATCATCCTCTTTGCCATTAGCAAAGTATTGGTAATTATGTCACATTTTGTTTAAGGTCATTCACAACAGTGTTAAGCAGCAATGCCCAAAATGTCAGACCTATGATGTGTATTAGGTAGGCAGTGATTTCCCGTTGAGTGCAGAACTCCAGGGCCTACACACAAATCTCTACACCAGAGGCTTAGATGCTTCCAAAACTCACATGTAACCAGACAGCAAAGCTGTTTTGCCAGTTTTTCCTGCTTGAATCTTGTCCAAACAGATTATCAAACCAGTGGGGTTTTTGTTGTTATTGGGGTGGGTTTGTTTGTTTGTTTGTTTTGTTTTATATTGGCCTTTTGTGTGCTGGTAATTGAATCAGCTGAACCTGGTAACAGCCTTTGTGAGAAAGAACTGATGTCCGATGTTTGAATTAATTTATTGTTGTGTTAGAGCTGGCAATGTAACAACAGACCAATAGAGACATGATCATCACAAAATTTTATCAACATCTCCCATGCCCTTCATATTTCCCAGCTCTCACAGGAAGTATGTGGCTGGCCTGGGAAACAAACATTACTCTGTGCTTTAAACTGAATTTGTCTTTCATTCCCTTGCACAAATAACAGAATTAATATCTGTTCATCTGTGATTTTTCCATGCATGATGTGTAATGCAGCCCATTCATGATAGATTTTTTTTCTGTCAAGTGTAGAAAAAAGAGAAACAGAGGTGGAGATGCTACTTGACTTACATAGAAAAACCCAACACTGACTATCCTTATCACCTTAACAATCTGTCTCCTCATACCACTGCATGGATGTGCTCTTGGCTACCTGCTGGCTAGAGCATAGGAAATTCCAGGTCTGAATACTCACTGTTCCACCCGAGAGCCAAGCCCTGGATCTACTGAACAGATCATTAAGTGGGATGTAAAACTTGTTCAGCCAGTCTGAAACCTTATTTCCTTTTGACAGCATGATCATCAGTAGATTCCTATGGTTGTTTATTTCTAAGGACCTTGCTTCCTTACTTCAGTCATAACTAACTAAACGATGCCATGATCTAAGAACATTTGATAAACAATTGAATTATAAAATTAGAAGTTCACATGTACTAACTATTGATAGATTCTTTACCAAATAGCTCTACTTCTGACTCACTCGGCCACACTTTGTCATGGGTGATACAAATGTCAGGTGGCCTTGAAGGCAAGATCACAGAAGGCCAGAACCAGCCTTACCAGCAGTAGAGTTTCAAAGAAATAGACACTTCATTGTCCTGTGATGAGCAGCTGAGGGTTCTTTAGTCTGGAGGAGGCTCAGGGGTCACTCACTCACTACAACTACAAGAAAGGAGGTTTTAGCCAGGTGGGGGTCAGCCTCTTCTCCCAGGCAGCTTGTGACAGGATGAGATGACATAAGCTGTACCAGGGGAGGTTTGGGTTGGACATCAGGAGGAATTTCTTCACAGAAAAGGTGATTAGACATGGTGCTGTTGATATGTGCTGTTCAATTAGAGGTCTTTTCCAATCTAATTGATTCTGTGATTCTTTTTTTCTTTCCCCTTCAGGACATTTCAAACCTTCCTTTGTAAATTAGTTCCTAAAAATCATTAGGAACTAAATTCCTGATCCTTATAATGTGCTGGAGTCACCTCTAGAATGTTTCCTTTCTACTGGTTTACTATTATCTTTGACTAAGAAGTTAAATCCTTTGCTAGAAACCAAATTTCTTTTTTGTTGTGTCTGTGCAAGACAAACTACCACTATAAAAGATTTTAATTTCTGGTTGCCTGTTCATGACTTTTGCAGTAGTTGCTTTTTTTAACCATAGGACACTGCTCCTTTTTGAAATCCTTTATCACCTCCTTAGTAGTATCCTACAGCTACTTTCTCATTACATTAATCTTTTCTATTCATGCAGTATAGGCTTTTCCATACTCTTGGCTTGTCTTACTGTGATTCATATTTTTTACATACATTCATAGTTCTGCACTATTTCTTCCTTCTGATATTACAGAAACAATGTGCATCATAAAAATGAGCTTCCTAAATTACAATTTCTGACTGACTGTGACATTAACTAAACAGAATTTCAAAGATTACATAGAGGATAACCTAATACTTCCCATATTAAGTAATACTACAACTTTCTTTGATTTATCTTTCAATCTCTGCTATCATATCTCAAAAATATTATATAAATAGCTAAGGTTAATTTTTTCTGAAGACATCTGCTAAGGCATTATTTCCTGTACCAAAAATCAATATGTTATTTATATTTGCTTTTAATAGGTATAGATGATACAGAGTCAGTAATTACTGTCTCCTGTGCTGCAGACTTTCTTCTCAGGCAAAATACACATTTACACAAGACCCAGAGCATAATATGTATTTTAGAACATTGATAGATGTTGAAAACAACATAGCTCATCTGAAGTCTTTCCAGACAGCATTCATTGTGTTCTGGAAAATGCCTTTATGCTTCCAGAGTTGGTTGCAGACCTCTTACCAATTGCATGATATGTAGGTTTTTATTTTAGTTTTTAAGGAATTACTCATTTTTCAACAGGGGCATGTCTGACTGGGTCATTGTGTTTTAACAGATTATTGTCCTGGAGAGGCAAGGATGCTCTTCCAGAATGGAAAAGAAAGAAGGAAAAGGGAGATGTGTGTTTTGGTATAGGCTGTAATGGGGGGAAAATATTACTTGGAGGAAATGACAATAAATCAAAGCTCTTTTTCATGGTTTAAGCCCAGCTGGAAATTAAGCCCCACACTGGTGCTCCCCTTCCTCACCCCTCTAGTAATAGAGAAAAAAGAGAGAGATCCTGAGCTAATAACAACTTACTGGAAACAGCAATGAGGTAAGAATATGAACAATATCAACAACACTATTAATAACAAAAGTATGCAAAAAGGAGGGTGATTTGCATACAAAAAATATATAACTGAGCAACCCAACCTGGTGCTGCACAATTCCAATACAAAGAAAAAAATGTCCCTCTGCCCCTCCTTGTGCCCTGTTTTCTCCCAAGCCCAAAACAATGGAAAACAAAGGAAAACAAATCCTCTGGTGAGGACAATTGTTACCCCACTTCCTCCAGGATAAAAGAATGCCTGCCCTGTCCCAGGAAGCAAGAGCCTTTTCCCGGCCCCTTGGCGATGATGTAAGATAATGTGGAACAGCACAATGACTTGGCCATGCACACATGGCTCCAGGCTTCATCCCTCATGTCCTTGGCCAGAGCCAGGACAGTCTAACAGTCATACCAATTGCTATGCTGAACAAGAGCATGGGTTTTATTCCCCTATTGATGAATTCTAACACTAGTGAGTAAAGCCCTTCCCTCAAACCATAGTGAGCTGGGGGCAAATACATTTGTATTCAGGCCTCCACTCAAAACTTCTAAGTGATTTTTAATGGGTACAGTTAGGTCTAAAGAGGGAGGAACATTCCTCTGAAAAGAACAGGATGTTTATGGATTCAAAGATCTCAAAGCTGGAGCAGGTGGCTCAGATGACTCAGACTAAGTTTCCATCCCAGAAGGGGAAGGACCCTTGCACCTCTCAGCTGCCTCTCTCTGTAGGCCAGGGAAGGCATCTAGCCCAGAGTTAATAGAACAACCTACCACTTACCTCTGCTGGTTGTTCTGCCAGTATTGTCCTTGTCCTCTTTAAAAAAATTGCATAAAAGACTCCCACACTTACCTCCATTTTCAGATCGTCCTGTTCCAGTTTTGAACCACTAGTTCTTTGGATGTTTCCCTACACTCTAACTCTCCCTACATAGAGTTAAGTCCCCCCTCATAAGGTGTCGCATGCAAATTGAGGCACTTAGGAATAGTCTTCCTGAGAAAGTAACTCTTCTTCTCCCCATCTGTTAGGGCAAATGTATTTACTCTGGGGTTGTAACTTTTTTTCTATAATGAGTCCCAGTTTACAATCTGAACTTTGAAAAGGTAGGAACTCAAATAGTGTATTTTCACTGGAGACCTAGAAAGATTAAGCCAATTTCTCATTTCTGTTTAAGGGTTAGTTCTTGTGCCACTGAATTGCTTGTCCACTGGGGCTACAGAGGATATAGGGGTATTTACTGTCACTATAGGACATGTGAAAGCACAACGCAAGCCGCTGCTATTGCAAAGGTGAAAAAGAGGAAGTTTATTTTCTGACTCTAGTATTTATACTTTTCTAAAGGTGACAGTGGATTGGAGGATGAATGTGCCACCTCTCCAATGACACTAGACAAACTACTAGTTTATCAAATTTCTCCACCTCTATGAAGGAATGTAAAACAATAGGTTGTTTACAGAAAGTTGTATGAGAAGATGTAAAGATGTTTACAAGATGTAAACTCAGAAGGCTTTAGAAAATCTTAAGAATTAGGGCAACAATTTACTACTTTCCACATTCTGTAGATACGATCTGAATATTTTGCACACTGAATAAAAGCATCCATTTAAAACCAAGTGCCACCAACTATTCAACATCTCTAATCCACAATGACTTCCTAATGGAAATTAGTTTGAGGTTGTTGGTCATTTCCTAAACTTTGTGTTGTATGATACTGTGTACCATTCATGTTTTGATGAGAGTATTGTGATACTTCAAGTGACAATTAAGTGCCAAGTACTGTAATAATTTAGGTGCATCTGTATTATCAACTGTTTTTTTTCAGTTACTGCCCTGACAAATAACAAAATTTACCTTTTATTAAAGCATATAGACCAATTTATAGAGAATCCTGTATTAGCTGTTGCATAATTTGGCCCAGGATTACTGTTAATACTACCTGGCATATAGCACCTCAGTTCATTCCCTAAATAAATTTGTCACATTTAGACTATTCTGGTTTTCTATGTTATTCCAAGATGTAATTTCAGTACGACAGGTCTCTCTGCTTGCCTCAGGAGAACACGATGCCAGTAAAGTATGCAATCTTAGATCTAGAGAACTGGAACTGTTTTCACAATGTTTACCCCCCAGGGAAAGAGAACTAAAAAAATCTGAAGAAAGCAATTTGCCTGCAGACTAAGAATATGCTTATTCTATCAGATACAGTTTTCCAATTGTTTCACTACATTTATGGTGATTTTCTTTGTCAAAGTAACTAGTACTTGGAAACAATGAAAAACCATAACCTGCAACTACAACTCTGACATAAAGAAAGCAGCATAATTTGTAAGGAAAAATTAGGCTTGCCAATTAATTTCTTTGCCTGCCATACTGATTTCCCTCTAAGATTTCAAATCTCTTGAAAAAATACACTACACTCCATAACACAGGGCTACCTTCCTGGGAAACCTAGAAGGGGCTGTGGCCTTCCCATTGGCAAGTAGCTGCAGATGTTTCCACATCATCTAACTGTGCAAGATCTGACAGTTCTCACATCTCATCAGCTCTAAAGTAAGCTGCAAACTTCACCTCAGTGTGCCAGGAAAGCAGGTGGGACTTTAATATAGGTGGATGAAGCATGGAGCTATCTGCACCAAAACATCCAGAATACAGTCTGAAGCCAACTACAAGAAGAGGACCTGGGTAGTGTTTCTTTACCTCTCCGTCCCTCCCAGCCTGGCTTTAAAAGACATACTGCTGTCACAAAATCCACGGAGTAAGTGGGAATTGCAAGCTGTCTTCTGCTTCCTATTCTGTTTCTGTGACCATCACATCAACAAAGTTAACTGAATCTTGTAATTTTAGAGCTTATGCTGACTTACTGACAGCAAAGTTTTTGATGAAAAAAAACACGCTAGATTTTTATCTGACATGATTCTTAACAACTGTTAGGATCCTCTTCTTCATATAAATGAGTTGAGAATAACTTTTGATAAATACTGTAAATAATATACTTTCTGTACTTTAAAGTCTGTCCACACTGGAAGAACTATATCTTATACATGAATATGTTTTATAAAATGACTGAATTCCCAGAAACCTTTGAGACTCAAATAGAGATATTACTGCTTTTATCTCTGATTGGGAAGCTGATTATACAAACTGTGTGTTTGTAATCTTGGAAACCAGATTAACAATAATAACAAAAAAAGAATCCATCTATGTACTTTTTTTCCTAATATGTTACTTTGATAATACCCTTTTAAATTCTAGCTAGATAATCCAGTTATTAGTAGGTAAGTACATTCTTCAAATATAACATTCCGTATGTGTGTGTTTATTTGAATTTTCAAAGGGAGAATGAAGTACATTAGGACACTGCGTTATCAGATACTAAACCTCTAATCTACAAACTCCTAAAGTACTTGGGTAAGTCAAATTAGATTCTTTGCTCTGTTGTGTTTTTTCCAAACATGTTTTAGGCTAAGAAGATATGGAAAAAATGGGAGCATGAATATAGAGGGGCTTTTTGTATGTGCTATTCAAAGAGTTGATTGCTTCTCTAGGATTACTTCCAAAAGCTTGTATCACTTCCATGCCCACCAACCCCATACATTTATCTAATCTTAAATATATTCCCTCATTTCCCAGCCATCTCACAATTAGGATATTTGCATTTGATTATTGTAACAGTATTACTTTCACTTATGACATTATTGTTTTTACAGTCTTATAAATGTTTTAGGGCCAGTGACAAGAGAGAGACCTTTTTATATATACTATCTACTTGAAATACTAATAATCTTGTTCTATGTTGGTCATTACATAACCAGTTTGTAACTCAGAATATAAGTCTCAGACAAAGAAGACCCATGACACAAACACCGTGGGAAAAGAATTTGTAACAAAACACAACACTAAATAAGGCCTTGAATAGCTTTATTGAAATCTGTATAAATAAACATGCGCATTTCAAATGTAAACCCAAGTGAACTCAAGTGCAGACAAAATTTTAACCTCTGTCATGCAGGAGGTTAGTTTACATTAAAAAAAAAACAAAACCTCAAAGCAGCTTTAAAATACCAGGATGAAACACCAGTTTAATATCAAGGTATAAAGCAAAGCCATGTCCAACATATCTCATTTATATCCTGGTCAAATGCAATTTTTTTAAACTTTTTAATGCTAACATAAATAAATAATTTACCAAAATGTGCACTCACAGAGTGAACTTTTATTTACAATACACAATTTATAACCTATTGTATTTGATTAGTTCAAGTGAAGAACATCATACTTTTTGCTTTTTTTTTTAAATTTTAAACAGTGGGACACAAAGCAATTCTCCAGGTAGTAGATATGTGACATGTGCCCCCACATTTAAGAATCCCTCTCAAAGGCAGTATTGTATGCAAATCAACAATACATTCTTCCAACTAGATCAATGGGAAAGCAGCAAATCAAAAAATATTTCAAACTGTCACACTTATTTTGGCATCCTGGACCCCTGAACACAGTTAACTGAAATCCAACTTGGAGTTTGTATGCCTTATATACTGTACAGGTTCTGACTTGAACATGCAAATGCCAATTCTCTTATGAGTTACCTTTTCAGATACACTGTAAGGCTATGGTGAATTCCATCCGGAACACACAAAGAAAATTAACAGGCCTACCTTTAAAGTGATTTTGTTAATTAACAATTTAAAGGCAGGTCATATTGAAAAAATTCTCAACTAAGCCTGATACACAGTCATTACTATGGATACAGAATACTATTAACTCTGACCTTAATACAGAGTAGTTTGCAAGCTGTCAAACTACAAAAACTGGGGAGAGAGAACTTATAGCACAATTTAAATTTTGGACTGTTACCAGATAAAAAATTATGCATGTCTTAGAAGCAAGATAACAGGAATTATGTCTGCAGAGTAGATTTCAACAAGCAACAATGGATACTTACATTTAATTGAAAACCCTTTTTGTTAATGCAGCATGAAACCCAGAACCTGTTCCACAGCAGAAGATAAATGTAATATTCTGGATGTTCCACTATGTCACAAAAGGTTAAAACACCTTTTTCAAGCTATTTCTTCTATTGTGGCCGAATGAAAAAACAAAAAAAAGAAAAATAGGGAGAAACAAAAACTTGTTTCAAGAAAACTACTTTAGGTATTTATAACATTTTTACTTGTAGTCTGTTGGCAGCCTAAGGAACATGTATATATTCATCCAGAAACTAGACTTGGCAGTAGTATTCTTGCAGTACTAAGAAAGTAAATGTCAAAAATCCACAGATTTAATATTTTAGTTATTAATTCACATCCAAAACAAAAGAAAACATAATCCATCAGAACAGCAGCAGAAAACTTAAAAGGGGTTTATTTGTGATTTCCTATATATACCATGTGAATATGAGACTGTAAATGCATTAGAGACAATTTCTGTTTAAATTTTTATTGTTTCACTTCAAGTACTGCACATGTTAAATTGTAATAAAGATTTACATTCTCTTATCTGAAACTCCCCATCTCAGATTTTTATTCTTAATTTGGTGGGCATTTTCACTCTCAATCTGTATCCCCAGGAAGAGAGTCTCTTTTATGGCTTCTAGTTCTTCCCATCAGTTAGTGTGCATACAATTTTCATTTTCTATATCATTATCATTTTCATTGCTGTCTTCATCACTTTCTAGTGGGATGCCTGTGGCAGCTGAAGCACCTTGTTTAGTTTCCCGGTCAAGTGGGAAAAAGCCAGTTCCACTGATTGTGTCCTGTCTCTGGTAGAAGAGCACATATGCTGCTTTGGACTGTAAAAAAGGGCAGTACATTAAGTTCACGAGGCTTCAAACAAAACATTTAAATACAGGTTACTAACTCTTTTTCTTTGCTTCCAAGTATACAAGGTAAAATTACAAAGAAATCCAGACTGCATGTTGTAGCAAAACATTTTTTGTTTGTACCGTTCTTTGAAAGAACACAAACTTCTGCCTACAAATTGAACACAGGTTTCATGGTTTACTCTTCAGTTTTCCTGCCCTGACATGAAAACATCAACAGTCCCAAATTTGGAAACATAAAAGATACTTGCCACTATCTGGTCCTCACTTGCAGTAGACACACTACTGTCATCAAAGTAGTACCATTTTCCATCATCCTTATTTTTTGCAAAAGCAGTATCTAGGACAAAAAAGTAAAATATTTGTCTCAGGACTTTGTATCTTCATAGATGTAATACAATCAGTTACTAGACCGTATTCCTGTCAAACGCTTCATATTTAACTAACTAAATCTTAATTATCACAATTAAACATCTTTAACATTTTATTTTTAGCAACGAGAGTTTAATTACTAACATTTCCCTTCTAAAGACAATGTATACTGAAAAGGACAGTCAAAATACAATCCCTCAGTCATATTTTCTCTCTGCTTTCAAGGAGAAGCACAATGAATAAAAGTACAGACAAGCATGATAAAATCAGTTGTAAGAGTACAGCAGCTCTTATGTTTTCTCTTTTCACAATATGCATAGCCTGTAAGTATAAAAGAACCTATAATTACCCTTGAAAGCTCACTGCATACAGATTTTTTTGTTAAAATAGTTGAGAAAGCATTTCAAGGTAACGGAAAAAAACTGTCCCTCAACCATTAAAAAGCACCATTGATTCAAAGTGATCATTGCTTGAATCAAAATGAACATGGAAAGAAAAGCTGACATCTAGAACCATGATACTTGAAATCAACTTACAATGCCCTCCTCCCATTCCTCCATAGTGGTTGGAGACAGCAATCAAATTGTAGCGGCAAGGCCCTGCATTGGGATTAATAAGGAACTCTGACATGTCCAAGTCACTGTTAAAAAACAAAACAAAACAAAGTAAAATAAAACAGACAAAATAACCCAAGCAAAATTCAGTCATGTTAATAGCATTTTTAACCACAGTTTAGTGGTCTCAGAACCCTTTACTTCATATGTCCTAGAAAAATACACCGGACTACTCTGCCAGTGCACCTCTTTCACTCTGTGAGAAATGGAACAGGAACAAGCAATCTTCCATATTTTTCTATTATAATTATTTTGCGAAGTTTATACTTTTAACCCAGAAGTATTTTGTCATTAGTTTATTGGATCCTCTCATGGAAGCTGAGAACAAACACATTTTATATAACTGCTGTATTAAACACATGCCCTAGTCATGATTTTTATACTTCTAGCATCAAAATATCTGAATTTCTTACTTTATTGGAAAATCAACCAATGTATCCAACTTGTCCCTCATGTATCTGCTGTAGGAAAAGCGCTTCAGATGAACTACCAGTACGGGGGGCAGTGACCACAAGTCTAACTTCTTAGTAGCTTGTTGATGTTCTTTACAGTTTGGACAATACCTAAAAGAAAAAACCATCAATATTAAGTAACTGTAGTCCATATATACGTTAAAACACATTACTAAAGAGAAAGTCACATTCATGAGAGGAACTGAATGAGCAAGAAACACACACTCTTCATGTTCTGTTACTAATGCCATAGATATCCCTTCCAGTTTACAATGTGCAAGTGTGGTCCCAGTGAAGCTCAACATCATTAACACAGAAGCAGCATCCCCCAATATTGGATTTTCATTTCCTACATGCCTGATCAGATCCTTAAATCCTTAGTTAAAACACAATATTCTTGCATTTTATGAAAAAGAGATAAAGTGTTAAGAAACTAACCATTAAAAAAAGTGCCAAAAATAACAATCAACTGCGATTCTTTCAAATTTCCATTTCCAAATTCATTCATCCACCACCCTGTCCTAACCATCATCTAAAACCAGATTACAGTGATTCCTGGAACCTGGAAAAACTCATTACTAGAAACTTCCCTTCTTAGTAGGCAACTATTGAACAGGCTGTGACTTAGAAATTTCTGTTCCCTGCAGCTGCGCATACTTGAATCATTCAGCAACTAATGCTCAGGTAGGAAGATAAGTAAGAATGAATGGAAGAAACTCTTCTTCTTCTATGTCTATGCATATTCTATACTTCTGCATCTAACAAGTAAAAATCTAGGAAAAAAAAAAGAAGAGATGAACCCTAATGAAAAGACTGCAAAGTGTCTTTAAACAGTGACGTCAGATAATGACAAAAAACTAGGAGAACTGTAAGATCAGGCTGGAATTGAAAATCTGTTTTCCCTATTGGCTTAGAATATGTAGAATACAAACAGTGCTGGACTAGGGATGATGAACTCTTGTAGATTAGACTTGTGACAACCTAACAAATAAAGAGAAATATGATTAATGACCTCTGGTGAGATGCATCGAGTAGCAGCTGCTTGACTTCTGCAGTTGTATTCAGTAGCTAAAATACTCTGCTTAAAATGTGCTGCCAAAATGGAAGTTCTTCAAGCCCTACTTGAGTTATATGGTATCCCAAACAGTCTATCCAGTGTTGTGTAATGTAGCAAACCCAGAAAAAAAAAGAGATTTTTAAAGTTAGCTCCCTACCCTGCACAAATATAGGAGAAACTCTGGTGACAATGTTTGGAGAGCTCCAAAACTTTTGAGTATCCACAGAAGAAACATTGGCAGACTCTCTTTTCAAACATAATTCTGAGTTTAAAAGTGTTGATGAAAGATTATCTGCTATAAAACTCCTGGAAAAAAAGGACCTTATGGGAACATACTATAATGATGAATATTCAGATATGATTCCAAATTATCATTTGGAAGAATCATAAATAGAATAAAAGTCTCTGCCAAAAACTTAATGGCTAGAACATGAATTTGAGGGGTCCTATTGAACACAGACATCCCCCATCCCATAAACTTGCTGTTTGTGCATATCCCTATTTCATATATCAATGCAAAGCAAGTTATGTATTTACATAAAGGAACTACAGTATGCACCAACCTCTCTCATCTCAGAAAGGAGTATTTGTTTAAACCACTATATTGAATTTGTCACAATATTATTCATTCACTGTCCATCAACATTCACAGACTACAGCACCATAAATATCAACCCTTCCTCTTAAATTGTGAATGCATTGAATGTCTTCCTTACAAATATAACCTTCTGTACATGGTAAAAATTTTGGTTAAGTAACAGATCAAAACAAAAAGCATTTTGAGAATTTTCAAGTATGTTTGAAATTACAAGATTCAATATACCATTAAATCAGCTACTGATCTATATGTTCAAGTGTGGTTTTGATTAATTTGGAGAAATAGACCATCATTTAAATTTTTTGTGCTTACCATGGGTCTTCAGCACCTAGTTTTTCCTTTGTTGTGAACAGCTCAATGCAGTCTTTTAATTTCACAAAAGGCTTTTTGGAAGGTTTATATTCCACACTTTCATGTTTTTCAAAATCCTAAAGAGAAGTATTTCTTGAGTTAAGAGAACAAATGAAACAAAACTCATTTTAGTGATGCCGTCTTACTATAAACAGTAACTACAAAGCTCCTATATATGGAAAAACTGATCAGAAACCATTCAAGTAAAAAGTTTCCACAGCTCCAGATTTACTTCCCAGTTCATAAGCCTCAGATTTGCTAATTACTTGGATGTATATATGAAGTTTATTTACAACAGCATATTTACTAAGAATAGCAAGAAAAAAGATATAGCTGCTTCTTCTTGCAAAGACTTACAATCTCGTATGTCACACTAATTGAGTTGCATTTTTTTGTTTAGGTTTATTTTTGTGCTGGAAAAGGGAGGAACTTAAACAGCTTACCTCTGCTGCACTATCATCAAAGTATCTCTTCTTCAATTCAGGATCCCAATCCAAAGCAAGGAAAGATCTTTCTAAGATTAAAAAAAATGTTTTCGCTTAGTATTATTTCTTGCTTCACATGAAATTGTATTAACTTTGGGCATAAACTCTTCAAAATAAATTAAA